CTCCACAGAAGGATTTGCGGAGTGTTATTTGCGGACAGTGGGCATTGATGTCTTGGTAAGCGAAGAGCTTAAGATGCTTGTGTGTTGCAAATCCCTGTATGGAGCCATATATCCGTAATGGCACTGTGTTATCTCATATCTGTTAATCTGATTTCTTCTGACCCATCAAGTAGAGCAGAGAGCGCTCTGATCTCATGGCCTACATTAAAGGATTGCTGTGGTATCACACACAGTATGTTAGTAAAGTCACACACAGTGACACGTGGGCTCCACCTCTGATCTTCACTGTCTACTGTTTACATGGGAATCATAGAAAGACAGCATAAGCTTTTCAACAAATGCTGTTGAACAACCACTGAAAGACTTATGGGGGCTCTACACAAACTTTGTGCGTAATCCTTAATCTCTAAAGTTCTTTTAGAGCTGGTTTACTGTTAACAAATGACTGAAAATGATAATATGAGACAGGAAAATTACACAAAAAAGGTCAAATACTAGGGCTGGGCAATATGACAAAAATTGCATATCTTGATAGCAACTTACAGTAGTCAACATTCAAAGTGGTTTAAAAAGTTATGCAATGGGTGTTGTTCAATAGTTTTAAGACAACTTTGACAAAAGGTGATGATCCAGGTTAAATGTTGACTAGTGTATGTCATGATATAGTACTTAAATAATAGTTTAAGTAGTTTGAATACACACACCTGTAAATAACAATTTCTTTTGTTTGTTTTTTACATTTTAAAGTATATACTCAGACATATTTCTCACTTTATTTTCATACAGTAAAAATGTATTTTGTGACACCACAATATAAACAATAGTGTGTCATTTGAAACAATCTACTTTTTGTATTGTCCTTACAATATACAATTAGGTCCATACATTTTTGGACATTGACACAATTCTAACATTTTTGGCTCTATACACCAACACAATGGATTTGATATGAAACAAAATGTGCTTTAACTGCAGACTGTCGGCTTTTAGTGAAGCATGTTGGTGGTGGTGTCATGGCGTGGGCATGCATGGCTATCAAAAGAACTGGTTCTCTTGTATTTATTGATGATGTGACTGCTGAAAAAAGCATGCAGCAAGATGAAATCTGAAGTTTTTCAGACAAAATTTTATGCTCATATTAAGCCAAATCCTTCAGAACGCACAGGATAGTGCTGCAATGGCCAAGTCAATCACCTGAACTGAATCCGATTGAGCTTGCATTTCACTTGCTAAGGACAAAACTGAAGGAAAATGCCTCAGGAACAACCAGGAACTGAAGACAGTTGCTATAGAGGCTTGGCATGAGCACCACCAGAAATTAAACCCGCGTCTGGTGATATCTATGCATTCCAGACTTCAGGTTGTAATAGACATGCTAAGGATTTTCAACCAAGTATTAAAAAGTGAAAGTTTGATTTACGATTATTAATCTGTCCAATTACTTTTGAACCCTTAACAAGTGGGAGGCACACATGCAAACTGTTGTTATTCCTACAGCGTTCACCTGATTTGGATGTAAATACCCTTAGATTAAAGCTGACAGTCTGCAAGTAAAGCAAATATAGTTTGTTTCATTTCAAATCAATTGTGTTTATGTATAAAGCCAAAATGTTAGAATTCTGTCAATGTCCAAATATTTATGGACCTAACTGTATATTGTCAAATTGCACATGCCTAAAAACAACTGGACAAAAAGATCTTTCCCTGCTAGCATTTTTTTATGTTGCCTGACCTTTGATATAAATAGGCCTCCAGAATATGTTGTTACATACTGTACAATGTATAAACAGAAATAGAATAGCCTCTGCTTTATTAAACAAAAATAAAATGTCAGACACTACAACTAGGATTCAGAGCAGTGATCAAAATATAGATGACGTTATAAATATAGATGTTCAGTCCATCAACACTACTTGAGTTTGCATAGTCACATTCCTCATTGTGGGTTGCACATTTATGTGTGTAGTTTAACCCAGCAGGCACACAACATCAAAAGACATAAATATTAGGTTAGATTTAAGTCACTAGTGTCCAAGAAGGACAATGTTATTTTGGAATTCAATAACAATGTGAAATGGCGTTGATATTTCGTTGAGATTAGTTTGTGTTGGAAAGTGACCAAAATCCAACGCCGAGCCAACATTTTAAACCAATGTTATATTGACATCAAATACTGACATTTATTCATCAGGTATGGCGATCTGATAGACGTCATATTGGTAGCATCCACACACCTCGAGCTGTAACATCATTCTGATGCTAACCCAATTTTATTTTCAAAACAAAATGCAAAGTCCCATGACATTAGGGTACAACACCAATCTGACGTCATGTTGACATCCTGTGCCTGCTAGGAAGGTTACATTTTACCAGAGGGGAGCAGTAAGGACTCCCTAGGCCCTTTGTGAATGACTAAACTCCAAAAAACATACTATATTAATATTACAACATATTAATATTAACCCATTAAAAACTCTAACTCTGAACCTATCTTGGCAAACTATGCATAAAATGCATGTCACCTATCATTTTCAAGTGTGAGTTAATAAACATAAGATAGTGAAATAAACATAAGAAAGAAAGAAAGAAAGAAAGAACGAAAGAAAGAAAGAAAGAAAGAAAGAAAGAAAGAAAGAAAGAAAGAAAGAAAGAAAGAAAGAAAGAAAGAAAGAAAGAAAGAAAGAAAGAAAGAAAGAAAGAAAGAAAGAAAGAAAGAAAGAAAGAAAGAAAGAAAGAAAGAAAGAAAGAAAGAAAGAAAGAAAGACCCTGACTGTCTCGTTTGGATTTTACATGCATTTATATACTGTTAAATATCTGATGATTGTGTTTGATGTGCTTGAGCAATGCTTTTACTAACTGCTTCTGCGTTGTCTTTTCTTAATCTTATATTTGGGGATTTTGTATGTTTTAAGAAGCAATAGTATGCCTGATTTGGTTATGCAGTCCAACAGCACACCACTGTAAAGGAAAAGAACATATTCTTGCATTCTACTTTCTTAATCATTGGAAGCCAAGATCTAAAATTCGCCAAATCATACAGCATTAGTTATTAAATCATCTTTGAGATCAAGGAGGGCACCCTGGTGGTTCAAAAGCCCAACACAAATCACATACAGTACTGTGAGTATAGGGATGACTGGAACTGCACTCAATGACTATTAAAATGTGAACTATCTTAAGGAACATTTACATGACAATGGTGTACTTAAAAGGGAAAAGTTTTCATATACGGATGGCAATATTGTCAGAACAATACCCATTAGTACTGATCTAAAAGACAAAGCCTCAATTATGCAAAACTCATTGATTTTAACTGTATATACTGTTGAGAATGTGTTTTCATCCACTTTGGGTTGTTTTTGAGTCTTAATTTGGCCATAACTTGTTTTGCATTTCAGCTATAGCAGAATGATGTTTGGTGACAAATCTTATTTTGACACAAAAATTCAAAATCTCTGAATTAAAAACAAAAAAACTAATTGATACACTCTTTACAGCAAATGTGCTATCTTTTTTATGTTAGGGATGAAAACATCCACTAAATTAAGCTGCTGTAAAAATGCATCAGATTTTTTTTTCTTTTTTTTCCAAAATCTGTCAATCAACCTCAGTCCTGATCAAAACTACTAAATTGCTTAGAAATATACTGTATTTTAACACTTTAAGTGTCAAACTCAAAAATGGTGTCACTAGTTTGTTGAAAAACAATTTGGTGTGTTGCCTCACAGCAAGAATGTCACTGGTTCTAGTCCTTACCAAGCCAGCTGACATTTCTGTGTGGAGTTCTCCCGTGCTCACGTGGGTTTCCCCCTAGTTCCCCGGTTTCCTTCAATTGTCCAAAAAACATGCAACTTAAGTTAAATGACTAATCCAAATCGGCACCATAGACATGCATCTAGTAAGTAGTTATCTCTTAAGAGCAATCACAATTTGTTCATTAGCTACTACAGCAGGGGAGTTCTTGAGATCTACCTGGGCTCAAAACCCCCCCTCGCCCTGCAAACGGGAGGGAGCCCCAAGCTCAAGGATTTTATGAGCTCAGGACTCTCTCCTTGGACAGCATGCCAAACAAGCTCTATAATTAATCATCAGCTAAGTGTAAACTCTTGAATTTACTGTTCGTGGCTTTTTTTTACCCTATTCCCCTACATTATAACCACATTTTTGTTTGATTACAAAACAATGACACCATATAATCATGCATTTTTGATAGTTGGTGGTATTCCAAGTTGGGAAGAGTTAAAATTTCAAATTTCTACTGTTGAACATTAGTTGGCATCATTAACCCTTTAGGCATGTGCAAAAAAAAAATAAATAAATAAAAAGCGTAGCTTCTGAATTGTATATGGTGTATAACAGCTAATTTAATTGTGTGTATGTATGTCTGTTAATGTGTGAGAGTAACCTTTACACACTTACCTTGATGTTTCTAAGAAAATCTAAATATGCATCCCAGCTCTCAGAACTACATGAAGTAAACAAAAACTGTGTATTTATGCACAATCAAATATGGTTATAAGGGAAGTCAATGGGGCAAAAACGGTCACCAACAGTAAACTTGGCAGAAAAAAAACAGTGCATTAAAGCTAATGTTGTTACTAATTGTTCACATGTCCAACACTGTAATAAAAGGTAAAAAAAAAAATCGAGTCCACAATTACATTTTATATTGAAAATACGTTATTTTATGTTTTTTTTTTTTTTTTACCAAATCAGTGACATCATTTATGAATTTGGCAATTAAAAAGTAAAATCTGGTACTTTTATAAACGATGTAGTAGTTTTGATCGGGACTGAGGTTAATTAACAGATGTATGCAAAAAAAATTTAATCAAATATTTATCTGATGCATTTTAACAGCAGTTTAATTCAGTGGATGTTTTCAACCCTAACATAACAAAAGGGTATTACATTTAAACTGTGCACAAGGGTTAAGTGCTGCCAGTGTTAATGCTTATATATTCAGATGTATTGATTTTTCTCTTTTGTGTGTTTTGTAGGAGGCGTTGATCAGTGCTTGGCTGCAGTTCAGTGATGGCTCCATGGCTCCTCTGGATCTATACAACTCTGATCACTTCATTCTGACCGCTACCTCTCTAGATGAGGATGTAGTGTCTGTTCGGCAGGACGCTGCAGGCCGGTGGCCGATCATTTCTGCAAGAGCTGAGGGTCAAGGTCTGCTGGTGCACGTCGAAATGACGGTCTGTGAAGTATGCCAGAAATTTAAGCGCCGAAGCGTCTTGGCAGCTGGAAACTGCAATATTCGTGTAAAGTTTGGTCGCAGTGAAAGCGCCTTGAGGCCCGGAGACTACGGCCAAGATGGAGAAGACATTGACAACAGACCAGGAGACCGCAGACAGAACCCATCTCTCCCTGACAGGACTGGAATGGACAACCACTACTACGGAAGCTCTATCTCAGACATGGAGGATGGTATCATGAGACGAATCACTACCACCACCAAAACTGCAATCATAAGAAGACCCGGTGGAGACAAGCTCTCAGACGATGGAAGCCAGTTGCCTGGCATTCCCATCGACTTCTCAGACTTTCCCGCTCAAGTGGACCTTCCCCGAGGAAATAATGTGGATGAGGATGACCTTCAAATACCTCACGGACTTACTGACCTTGAAATTGGGATGTACGCTTTGTTAGGAGTCTTCTGCTTGGCCATTCTGGTCTTCCTCATCAACTGTATCTCGTACACCCTAAAGTACCGGCACAAGGAGATGTCGATCGAGGGCCAGGAGAGCATGAATCACGCACACGATTGGGTGTGGCTTGGAAATGATTCCGAACTGTTGGAAAGCCACGTGAGCCTGTCTCCACAGACTGATGAGCACATCACCATTATGGACTCCAGCTTAGGAGGCTTAGAAGAAGGGAGCCACCTTCTTAATGGCGGGTCTTTGCAGAAAAACGTTCAAGGTCAGGTGCACCGAGGAGCTGACACTGCGACAGTCTGCACTGGGAAGGACAGCAAAGGTGATTCGCCAACGACCAAAAGAAAACGAGTCAAGTTTACCACTTTCACCACCATTCCAGTAGAAAGCATCAGTCCGACTAAGGAAAAGCTGGGAGTTGATCCTGACGATGACATTAAGTGGGTATGTCAGGACGTTGAGCTTGGTGACTCCAAGGAACTACGAAATTACATGGAGCGACTAAATGACAGTGCTTTAAAGGACGTGGCGTAGTCGAATCAGTGCGTGCAGACTGAACTCACCCTTATGCCTTTGTAAAAGAGACAAGTACGAGCCAGGGAACAACTGCTACATAAACCTTACGAACACAACACATCAGCCATCATAAAGGATGTCTAGCGTTCTTTTGGTTTGACTTGCCAGCAGTAGGACAATGCTGAGATCAGTAGACTTGACATTTTATCAAGATGAAACATTTTTTTTTTGTATGTTCATTTATATTACGTTCTCAACGCTCTTCGTTTTTTTAATGATTTTATTTTAGCACCTTTTGTAGTAAAAAGAAAAAAAAAACTAAACTGTATTTCCAGGCTTGCCAACGCTCTGCACTCACTTATGAGGCTACAGGACTGTATGCAGATGGTGACATGTAGATTAAGGATTGTAATATTAAAGAATCATTGTAAATAAAGTGCACATAGAATGGTTTGGATTTTGAAGCCTTATGGGTTTTATTTGTCAGTGCATTGCTTGCTGGATATATTTAGATTATTCACCAAGAGACCTTGAGTCACCAAGTTTGACATTTCTGTCTTGGTCATAGCTTTTTTTTTTTTTTTTGGTAAAAAATGTCACATATTTTTTCTTAGCCTGAACAGTAAACATATTTTACAGCCGAGAACTGTCTAACTAAATCAATTACACAGTTCCTTGAGGCTCTGTTTAAATTATACTCTATCTCAGTTATAACCTTTTGTGGCTGGAAGCGTCAAGAACAAGCTGCTTCAAATGCGATAGGAACTTTATTAAAGTACTAAACAGAAGTCATGATTGACCATGGAAATTTTTGTCAGGGTGAAAATGGAATCAATTATAAATTCCAAAACATTAAGACAATCAATTCCAGACTAATTCACAACAATAGCTCAAACATTGGAGGTAAAAAGGGCAGTCTAAAGATGCCAATATTTATGCTGTATATGGTAACACTCTTGTTTGAAAAAGGCCAAAGGCATTCTATAATGGTGGTACTCCATGTTAATGTGACATTTCCGATGCAATCCTTCAAGCCAAAATATTGTAACCTTTCACTACACAAATGCCAATTATTGTCTAATTAACCTATAGCAGATACCTCTTGCAAGTGCTCAATGGTATTTCCTTCTCAGTTTTATTAATGGGAAACTATCAGTCTTCAGTGAAAATCATTAACAGACTCAGACCTCTGCGAGTTGGACGGAAGCAAGCGATTCTGCACTCCAAATCGATTAAAGAAGAGATAGAGAATCAGTGGTATTGATTCATTCAGAGTTTAACTTGGATAAACTGCAAGAACTCATATTTGGTTTTCTGCAGCCGAAATGGTTAAAATATGTATTAATAAATTCCATCTATTCTCAAATCCACTTTATTCTCTATCACAAAATAAATCTATTTGATTCTATGTGGATTACAGTGTGACTTTCTGATTGAACATACTGTATCTCACGATGCCTATTTTAGGTAACACTTTATTTTGATGGTCCTTTTGAGAATTAGAAAACTGTCTGCTTAATATCTGTTGATACTGCTCCATGAACAGACTGACTAATACTGACAATAAGAAACTTTGTAAGTACATGTTAACTTGCACTAATCCTAGTCCTAACCCTAACCTAACAGTCTACTTATTATTTAATGACAATCAGTTGGCATATAGATGCAGTGTAACTTAAATTCAACAATTGGACCACCAAAATAAAGTGTGACCCTATTTTCCTACTAACCAAATCAACCAACTCAAATAAAAATTCAATGCTCATATGATTTTGTTTATATGGGCATTTAATATTAATTTGACATATTATAGAATTCTTGTTTATAAAATAAATCTAAAATATTGACATTTCTCATTTAAACACCTAAATGTTGCCTCTATCCCTCAAAACCAAGGTGAAGTTCATACTCTGCTTTTGAAAGAATTTTAATAGGAACTGGCACTTTGGGTGGTGGCTTATGAGAGTAAAACTTTAAAAATAACAACAACAACAACATTAGGAAAAAAGTTGTTCAACAAAAAAAAAAAAAAAAAATCCCAACATTTCAACTTCAAAAATTCCATCTCAAATTCAATTTTACCATTTTATTCTCAGTAAAATGTCCCCATATTTTTCAACATAGTAAGTCATAACCCAGCTTTATGTGAGTGACAATTTTGAAATCATTAACAACTAACGGTGTCAAACCTAGCGTGACATGTCTTCATGCACCACAACTGAATGTAGGTGAACACGGATGATACCAGGCTAATGATTTCAGTCTGTTCCTCCTCACTCAAAGCAGTCATACGGCTTCAGAAACACTTGCAATATGGCACACAAGCCAATTTGGGCTCTATTTTATTTTTTTGTTCCCAGCATCTGTCTTTATTTCTTTTAACGTGTGAAAGAATTTGCATTCCAAGGATAAAAGACAGACACTAAAATGTACACAACCCACAACCACTATATGCAATAGCCACATTAATAACATACATGGCATGACATTTCCAGCAAAATCAGGTTGAAATAAAGTATGTATAAGGGGACAAAACAACTGGTCAAGGTGAACCATATAAAAGGTTTGCTTTGTATGGTTAACTATTTATACTCCCATTGGTTAGCTATGCAATAGGTAGGTGTGGCTCTGAGAATCCACCTTCTTTAACTTTCTTTTAACTTTCTACTTCTTATTTAAGCCCCCAAACTGACATTACATAATTTTGAACAAAATCCAGTTAAAACAAAGTTTAAAAACAACTCAACAAGGCCAATTTTGGGGCAGTTCTCCCAACATCCAACACAACACCACCAAGTTAGCAACAATAATAAACTGGAGAGTTGCGTAGCAGAACTGGCTTGCATCACTTGCGATTTTAAAGGCTTAGAGAGGGTCACGTACTGCATGTGAAGCACCATGCCTTATATAGTTCTTAACATTGTTCCATTCTGTGTCTGTCTACAGCAAATAGAAAGCAATGTAAAAATGTGCACTTCTTGTGCAACAGGCTGGAGAAGGTTTATAAAGCTTTTTATGAAACTGTTCTTTTCACTAATGCTATCGTTTTTAGGGGTAAATATGAGCAGAATGACACATTTACAACCCCACCTACTTTAATATAATGCAATGAAATATGTATTTACTGCATTTTTTGCATATGGCCATACACAAAAGCGCTTCACAATCATGAGGCGGTCTCTCCACCACACACCAATTTGGTGGATGGGGATGATTGGGAGGCCATGGTGGTCAAGTTAAAATAAAGAATGCAAAGAACTTCATCTGAAGAATACCAGGGCCTTAACTACAGTACACAACTAGAAGTTTCTCTGACTATAAAAAGATCTTCTCATCGACTTTTTCAATCTGATGTTATTCAACATGGTCAAAACATGAGTGTTCAATTGTATATCTTCATTTTTATTTTTGATCTTATCTAAATGTTCTCTGATCATCTTTCTATTTCGTACCCAGGAGACCCAGAAGACCTGTAACCCATTCTGGATATGCGCTACTATAGCATAGGTGTCAAACTCAGTAACAGCCAACCATGCTCCAACACACATACTGTACCTGTAGGTTTCAAACAAGTCTTCAGAACTCAGTCAGTTTGATTGAGTATGGTAAATTAGGGTTGAATATAAAACGTGCAGAGCTGAAGGAACAGCATTTGACACCAGAGTGCAAGGGCTTTCCTTAGCGTAATACACCTAGAACAGTTCTTAATTTGAGGCGGATCTTGTCGGATCCTGTTCATGAAAATGTCAGATTTTTGAGTTTTGCATTCTGGTATTTATTTTAATGGATTCGGAATTAAATTTTTGTTCCGGCATAACATTTTTCTGTGTGTGTGTGTGTGTGTTTGTTTAAGAGAGAAAGAGTGAGAGAGAGAGACAAAAAGAGAGAAGGCTGTGTGGATTGTGCGTGCATGCGTGTAGTCACCATGCGCAAGTTAAAGCAAAAGTCAAGTTAAACTATTGACCCTCAATAATATTTTTAGCCAATCGGCTTTCTTATGTTTACAATCAGTCTTATTGGTTGGTTACTGTTTCACGTGCAGTGAGCAGCGAAAATAAATTATGGAATAGTGGCCCCCGAAATAATATTTGTATTTTCAAAATGGCAAAGAGACAGTCACGCATAAAACCACAAGTAAATCTGATAATAAGCCTGATCAAACGAGATCTCGAGAAGATGAAACTGCACGAATAATCAGGATACCGGGAGACAAAAGCAAAGCCAGACAGCCAGAAAACATGACAGAAGAGGTAACTGTTTTTTTTTTTTTTCACTTGGCACATAATAGTGAAGTGAACTGAATAGTGATTGTTCATACAATTTATGTTTGTAGCTACATGTTCTTGTTATCCATGACTGACTTATAATGTTATATAGCACAAAATAATAAAAGACTGTTTAGAAATGTGATCCTCTTTTTTTTTTGCGCTATCATCGTTTACTGACCTTATGTTCCAGGAAAACTGAAATTGTGTGATGGACGTCAGTCTTGGTAACTTTTATTTCCTAGCTTCGTTCAGGGAATTATTAATTTACAAATTAAACACTGACCTACAACCTGGACTGCTGTAAAAAAACTTAGCAAGACATCTTTTACATGACCAACCCAGACTATACATAGTATCAAACTACTAAAAATGTCAATACAAGTATCTTTGGTAAGCTTTTCAACTTCAAAAGCTGTCAGACTAGAGATCAAGGGCCCATAATTCACCTCGAAATCTCAAACAAAAAGAAACACCAATGAATCATGAGCCAACCATTAATTAACATGTATTTTTTACACTGCAGTCAGACGCCTAAATAGGATGACTACGTAACTTGAACAGAATCTCTTTTTAATAACGACTCGCCCTCATGCACAGAGCTGTAATTATTTATTAGTTAATCTGCTTTGCGCATTTCCACTTTTGTTGAATACGCAACGCTAGCATCAGATCTAAACAATTACAGTAGCTGAGTGAGTGTTGGCTTATTGATCTCGGCTCTAAGCCTAATGAAAACAACCATACTGAAGAGCGCGTACTATGTTTCTAATCCGCATTTCTCCTCCTCCGCTTTTCTCTTTTATCAGAAGTATCATATCAATCACATCCTCTCTTATTGCCCGGGGCTCTTCTCTTTTCCTGTATCCTGTATAACATGATCGCACCTTCTGTCTTTCAAAGACACGCACACACACAGTTTTGTTTTCTAGTATCCATGATGAATTACACTTTTTGCTCTGTGTTTTTGTTCGGCCTCGGTGTCATTAAATTTGAATGCGTCTCTATCAGCGGAGAGATGGATATATGGAGAGTATTGTGAACCGAGGTGCAGTCTGTGATCTGTGAAGGGCACTTCAAGCTGAGCTGACTAGGGGTGGAATAATCTATGGTGCAGAGAGAGAGAGAGAGAGAATGACTGATGGATCTCTTGCTGTAATTAACACATCTTTTATAATCACGTCTTCTCATT